CATAACCATGCCACCAGACTCCATGCCAGGCTGCTTTCATCTTGGGGCGTTCCAGAGAGGGGCGGGTGAGAGCCCTCCCTGCCCCAAGGAACCCAGCCCCAGCATCCGACCTCTACTACACAACCACCACCACTCTCCAGGCTGCTTTCCATGCCCTCTGGTCGAGCCTCACATATGGGGAACATATTCCTGGACACATCGTAAGACACCCTCTACTTATTTTCCAAAATCACTATCACAATCACTATCACTATCATCCCATTGTTCATTGATTTGCTGGAGTGGGCACCAGTAATGTCTCCATTCGTTCCTGCCATGTGCTAGTGTAGCCCAATGGCATACTGGGGGCTCTTTCAGGGTCAGGGGGATGAGGACCAACATTGTTAGTTTTTTTGGCATATCAAATACTCCACAAGTAGCTGTTCAGGCTCTGCTGGTACTGGTGTAAAACTCTCAGTAGCTTGCCAGGCTCTCCGAGAGGGATGGAGGCTTTGGGGCAGCCTATAATCACCTTTACAGGTATTCCCAGTCAGGCGGGCAGGATACTCTCGGTAGCCTGCTGAGTTCTCTGAGAGCGAGAACTAGACAATAAGAGGTCTCGCTGCCACAAATGTGGCCGCACAACTTTCGGGAGCTTGGTTTTATAGTCCCACACCCCTGGGTTCCTTTGCCAGTTCCTTCATGTGTGAGGCTCGTCCGAGCATGTGGAGAGTGGTCTAAACATAGCTATGACTGGGTCCCGGAGGTCTTCAGCTGCCAGGGCTCTGCTCAGGGCGGGGAGGAAAACTCAACACACACCCCTCCAAGTAGCCCCGGTGAGGACACCAGGCTCAGTGGCAGGACACTCTGCATTGTTCTCTTCTGGGAGCTTGGTTTTATAATCTCTGGGTCTTGGCTGTTGATGAGGTTACACAGCAACTGGTTGGTGGAACTGTCTAGTTACTGGAAGATAGGGAATCTGGGTGGATGAGGCCCAGTCCTGAACAAAGCAGACTTGGAGATCTCAGTCCCGGGTTCCAGAGGAACACCTGGGATTCTCTGCCGGTTCCTCCATGAATGAGGCCTGTCGGAGCATGTGGAGAGTAGTCTTATGTATATTTTCACTGTCACTGTCCTCCTGTTGTTCATCGATTTGCTAGAGCAGGCCCAGTAACGTCTCCATTGAGAAAGCCCACCAAGCAACTGAGAGTATCCCACCCGGACTTCAGAGTCTGGCAAGCTCCCGTGGCATATTCGATATGTGAAAAATAGTAACAATAACGGGTCTCATTTCCCTGACCCTGAAAGAACCTCCAATATGGCATCATTGGGAAAGACAAGTAAGGAGAGGCTGCTAAAATCTCAGGGCTGGGACAAATGTAGATGTTACTGGCACCTGCTGGAGTAAATCAATGAACAACATAATGACAGTGATGACAGGGATGACAATGTATACCAAAGTCCACTATAACAGGTGATATAGGGAGTGAAAGAGATAGGGAGGGGGATTATTATATTTAAGTGAACTAGGAAATCAATAGTTACACTAAGAAAACAAAACTCAAGATCAGAATTTTTTTTAAGTAGTGGGTGGTGGGAAAAGAATTATTGCCCACTTTACAAAAGAAATACCAATTAATCTCTTGAATGACATTCATTGAAAGAGCTGTGTCAGCATAGGGCAACAACAAATCCTGAAGCCTCCATGAAAATTATTCTATCTCACCAAGAATGCCAGTCTAAAAAGTGAGATTTTATTTAGAGAGTGACAAAGCACAGATGAAAAAGAAAAAATGGGAAAAATTTCAATATATAGTGTTAAAAAGGAAAATGAATAGTAGAATAGGTGGACTTTTAGGGACATTAAAGATAATTTGAACTACTTCAAAATCCTTCTCAAAAAGAAGACTTAATAAATGATACTGATAGTGATTTGAAAAATAGTATCTATAATTCTTCTCTTTAATTCCTTATTAATCTTTTGCTTATAACAAATCCACATATTTTGGCCTAAGAGAGATGATAAATCAAAAATAAGGGGTGATAGTTAAAATTTAGTATTTTTATCTTAACTAGAGCAGACATAGATAACAAATATAAATGGAATGCACATCTATGCCAAACACAGTAACAGCAAAGTCTCCAATGGAGACGTTACTGGGCCCGCTTGAACAAATCGATGAACAACGGGAGGGCAGTGACAGTGACAGTGACATCTGTAAAATCTATAACATTACAGTGAGTATAGTAGAAATATTAATAAACTATTATATACATGTGATTTTCTGAACAATGTTATCAAAGCAAGTACTTTAAATTGCTTTTTGATTTCTATATTTTGATAAGATGACCCATTATATGATTCAGATCTCGTAACCAACTGAATAAATGAAACAGCAGCCTAATATTTTCCTCACATAATTACATGATGCTTAAGTTATACTGTTCTAGCTTTTTAAAAATATTGGCATAAAATTTTCTATAGCTATAAATAAAATTAATTTGGCAAGTCCCATTTCAGGGAATTCCAGCTGAATATTTCATATCCAACTATTCATTATAAAATCCTAAAGTGGTTTTAGGAACTCAAAATTCTCTATTTTAACCATTTTGAAAAAATTAAGAGGAAGTCTATTTGCTGCTACAATGCTAATAAAAAGTTGGGACTTACTGCATTCAAAACTAAGTATTACTTATTGGTTAGAGATTCCCAGTAACTCTGAATCATAGTCATTTTTGGAAACTGAACAAGAAATTTGACTGGAATGTCATATCTAACTTGACTAGAGACTGCCCAACTGCAAGGCAAATAACATGCACTTTCACCCCCAAATGACCTGGGAAATAAGCACAAAAAATATTCAAGGACTTAAAATCTAGCTGTGGGAACTTCACTGCAACTAAATAGAGAAGAAAACAGACGATCCCAGGGGAAACAAGTATATGGCAAGAAGGATGCAATTAAGAGCAATGACAAAGTCATTTACCATTGCTGTTTGTTTAATCCGGTCACTGTGAGCAAAGGTAGTAACAAGGAGGGAACTGTCCTCTCCAGAATGAGAGGAATTCAGGGATTCACAGCACAAAGACCCATCAGAAGGGCACTATGATAGGGAGACTGGTTGACTAATGGATGTGGGGAATAAATTCTCCCAGCTCTGTTCAAACCATTGGAAAAGAGTTGCCCTTCAGATCATCTCTACGCCTGTTTCTTTTATCCATTTTCAATTTATAATAACAATAATGACCTAGACATAAGACATTTCCTGGGCTTTAGTGACAGTCTAAGGTTAATGGCCCTCAACTACACCTCAGGCCATCAACCCCTCCCAGCTGGTCATTAATCTCTAGGAAATTTCCTGTTCTGGGGTCATTATTGTTTCAATATCAACTATACCTTAAAAGCTTTATGGATTCTACAATACAAATCTCTTGCCAATAGAGGTTATAAAACCTGTTTAGAATTCTGAAACTATCTTGAGTTTGACCTCTCAAAACTGTGTCGCTCAAAAGTCAAATTGTCCTAAAAAAAAGTTCAATTTTATCCTTATTTGTTTACATTTTCTCAGAAGAGTCTATTCAATATTATAAGAACTTAAAAAAAATCAATGGATAATGGGTGACAAAGGTCATCTTTTAAGAGCAGCACTTTCTCCCCTGAGCAGTAGCATTACTTAGCTTTTGAGAAAGAACACTGTTACTTGTGAGAATGGTTCTGTAACATAATTTATGTGACTAGGTATCTCCAAACCACCCCATGCAGAGAATTTTCAAAGTACACCCAAATTCTAAAATCTCATTTTTTACTCCATAAGAAAATATCTAATATGCACACTACTACAATGAGCATCCTATCTGTAATAGAATATTCCAAATGAAGATGGACTGATAAATCAGGGGTAAAATACTATTTCTGGAAGGTAGTATTCATTATTAAAATTAAGCAATTAAAATTCTGACCCCAGCCAATTTCCACTGACTCAAACGAGACTCCATCCATGAGTGAATCTGCTGAAAAAAAAAAAACAGGTATGCAGGATTTGTGACTGAAATCTCCAGACTCACATTGAGTCAGGAATGGGAAACCTCCCCTCACTCCCCTGTGCTTCCAGTAGCTTGGCAGTCACACTCACGAAATGCCTCTGATGCCAAGCTCATTGTGGCCATGTTCCAGAGACTCAGAAATAAATCTCCTGGAAGAGAGCAATACAAGAGCAACACACAGCAGAGATGCCTCTGGACCTCAAAGTCAGCATCCAGTTAATAAAAAATTTAATTAACCTCAGATATATCACTGTATTTAAAATTTTAGAATTCCTGGAGTGACATCTCATACTCTATACCACTGATGTACTAAGACAAGGGCTTAATGGCTCCAGGGTAAAATACAACAATCTTCACATACTTTCCTCTAAGAAAACTTTTTGGATCATTTTTAGTGGAATATTTATAACAAGCTATACAAAATAAATTATTAGGTCCTGCTCTGGGTTCAGGCTTGGGGATCAGGGTGGAAACATTCGAAAGATGGTGGTGAGAAGGTATAATAGTGGTGCAATTGGTGTTAAAATATTAAATGTAATAAATTATTTTGAGCAACTTTATAAAAATAAAATTAAATTAAAAATATAATTTAATTTAAAAAAGAAATAAATGAAATTCTGACTCTACTGAGAGGGTGGTAGTATGGCTCTCCAGGAATTATTGAGAATTAGAAAACTAGTGTAGACAAAGGAAAGGGGCAAGAAACCCAATAAATAGTAATAGGAAATTGCCCTGGTAGAAAAGCAGATCACAGACATGAACAGGCAGGGTATTGGAGATGTGGAAGCCCCAGAGGGTACCCAGCTTTGGGGAAGAATTTAGGGTCAGAGATTCGTGCATAGAGGATCTGACAAAAACAGTGTCTAATAGCAAAATTAGCCTGAATTGCCTCTAGCTTAGCTGTAATAAGTTTCATATCTGAAACTGAAGAATAAAAAAGGTCACAGGGGAAGGGGGCGTGGCGGGCCTGCCCTGGCATGGCAGCGGGCATCGGGGAGGCCGAGCAGGGTCAGCCATCGCCTCCGCCGCCGCAGCCACAGCCGCCGGACATGGCCGAGGCCGGGGGTGCAACGGCGGCCCCCGTGGACGACGGGTTTCTGGACCTGGACTCTCCCACCTACGTCCTGTACCGAGACAGAGCAGAATGGGCTGATATAGATCCCGTGCCGCAGAACGATGGCCCTAATCCAGAGGTCCAGATCATTTATAGTGAAAAATTGAGAGATGTTTATGATTATTTCCGAGCTGTTCTGCAGCGTGATGAAAGAAGTGAAAGTGCTTTTGAACTAACCAGAGATGCTATTGAGTTCAATGCAGCCAATTACAAGTTGTGGCATTTTCGGAGAGTTCTTCTAAAGTCACTCCAAAAGGATCTACATGAGGAAATGAATTACATTACTGCAATAATTGAGGAGCAACCCCAAAACTATGAAGTTTGGCATCATAGGCGTGTGTTAGTGGAGTGGCTAAAAGATCCATCCCAGGAGCTTGAATTTGTTGCTGACTTTCTAAACCAGGATGCAAAGAATTACCATGCCTGGCAACATCGACAGTGGATTATTCAGGAATTTAAACTTCGGGACAATGAGCTACAATATGTAGAGCAACTTCTCAAAGAGGATCTGAGAAATAACTCAGTCTGGAACCAAAGATACTTCATGATTTCTAACACCACTGGCTATAGTGAACAGCAGTGCTGTCTTGGAGAGAGAGGTGCAGTACACTCTGGAAATGATCAAACTAGTACCACATAATGAACATAATGAAAGTGCATGGAACTTTTTGAAAGGGATTTTGCAGGATCTTGGTCTTTCCAAATATCCCAATTTATTAAATCAGCTACTTGATTTACAACCAAGTCACAGTTCCCCCTACTTAATTGCCTTTCTTGTGGATATCTATGAAGACATGCTAGAGAACCAATGTGACAACAAGGAGAACGTTCTTGCTAAAGCCCTAGAGTTATGTGAAATTCTAGCAAAAGAAAAGGATACTATAAGAAAGGAATATTGGAGATATATTGGAAGATCTCTTCAAAGCAAACTCAGCACAGAAAACAAACCTCCAGCAAATGTTCAGCAATAACACCATCCAGAAGAATTTGATGGATGCTTTTACTTTTTTTTAAAAGACTCTAAAGTAAGAGTTTAAAACTAGGGTGGTCACTCCCTTTGTGGTATAAACATGAATCACAAAGGTAATTGCTTTCTCACAAGAACTAAGTTATGTTCTTTGGGTGTTGCTGCTGTTCAGACTAGTTCTAAGTAATTCAGTTTTTCAAAGCAACGTAGTTCAGGGGAGTGGGACCACGAGGGAGGAAGAAAATCAGAAAGATCACTGCAGTCTTACAAACATTTATTCTAATTCCTTAGCATTACCTTCTCCCCAAATGGTCCGTGCATTAGGGCTTAAGCAGTGATTGAAGGTAACGGGTATGGATGCGAGATTGTTTGATTCTGGGTTAAGCAAGCAGGAAATGCTTTTGATACATTAGAGCTGCGATGCTGCACTCACAGTATCTTGCTACCACTGTAACCAACTAATGTCAAAAAAATGATTTTGTAATAAAATTATAAGATGTATCTTTTTAAAAAAAAAAAGGTCACAGGAATATGGCATAAACTTGAGTGCTGACCACAAGCACAGGGCACAGCATCACAGAACACTGGGAGTCAGGAGGCTGATTGGATTCTACCTAAGTTAGAACTAACTCACCCATACCCTTCCACCACCCTTCCATCATTGAGGGAGGTTCTGGAGCTCAGCAATAACTGAATCTTGGAACGGTCAGATGATAAAAAAAAAACCAAACAAGTCCCACACAGCCAACCTATCCAGCATTTCATTTTCTAATGGAAAACTTTTTTTTTGAAATGTCAATTTGATTCTACGCAGCCAACATGGCCGACCCGAGTTCGATTCCTCCGCCCCTCTCGGAGAGCCCGGCGAGCTACCGAGAGTATCTCGCCCGCACGGCAGAGCCTGGCAAGCTCCTCGTGACGTATTCGATATGCCAAACACAGTAACAACAAAGTCTCCAGTGGAGGCGTTACTGGGCCCACTCGAGCAAAATTTGATTCTGGATCATATAAACATGATTCCTGCTAGGTATCAAAATTCAGGTCAGGGAGGGGGGGAAAAGTAGCAACTTCCCAGAATTTTCATACATTAACTCTTCGTTTGAATAAAATACATTTTTGAACTTTCAGGTAGAACAACAACACTAAAACAAGGTGTTGTTTTCCTACTTGGCTGCTATTCTAACACACTCTACAAACACTGAAGTTGACATGTGAATTGCTATTGAAATATTCTGTATGTTCTATATGATATCATATGTTCTGTATGACATCAGGAATGCAAAAGACAAAAGATGAATTTGAAGTGGAACTTGAGACAAAGACATGTCTCATTAAGTAAACAAAATATCTGGAAAACTTCTGAGATGGATATTATACCCATTATCTACATTTCAGAATAAAGTTGTGTCACTACTTTAGGGAATCTTTCCTTAGAGGGCTGTGCTGTGAGTGTATACCCTCTGGGGGGAAGAGTGAGTCAGGAATTCCAAAGGAAGGATAGGAATGATGCTTCCACCTGATCTCAAAGTGAGTGGAGCAGGGATCTGAGGGACAGTACAGGGTTTAGTTAAAAATGCATGTGGCCCACCCTGGTTCAAAACCTAGCACCACATACAGTCCCCACCACGGATCATTCCTGTACACAATGCCAGGAATGACCCCTGGGCATCACTAGGTTTCGCTCCAAAACCCCCACCACCCAAGAAAATTTGAGTGGAGTAAGCTAAATCATAATTCCTAAACATCCCTAAATCCTAATCCCCTTTTCTCTGAAAGAAGTATTTGGATCTGTAATTAAAGGTCCTGAAATGAACAGATAATCCTGCATTATTGCAATGGGACAGATGTACTTATAGGATCTTTCTTAAAGAGTGGAGGAGAGTTGGTGCAAAAAAAGGAAATGTGATGTCAATTGCAAGGAGAGTGTGGGAAAAATTTCAATATTCTACAGTCATAATTTTGGAACCAGAGAGGTCACAAGTGAAGGAATATAGATGGCCTCAAGAATCTGGAAAAACTAAGGAAACAGGTTCTTTCCCAGAGCGTTCAAAAAAAGATACAATTTTGTCAATACCTTGATTTTACTCAGCGCTACCTTATAGAACCATACACTACTTTGTGTTGTGTGGGCCACAAGTTTGTTTAATTTACCACAGCAGCAGAAGGTAAGTTTTGACACAGGAGAAAGAAGGGCTTTAGCAAGCAAACTAGGAGACTGTCTGTATGTTCCCTAGAGTATAGCAAATACTTACCACTGACTTACTCTCATCTTGAAAATATTATTCTCTATTTTCTATTTTGATGTGTTATTTTGACAGCAGAGCAAATGTGTGGGGAATGGTCCCTGTTCTAGAACCTGTTTAAACAAGTAGGAGTGTATCTTGCCAGCAAAATCAATTGTCTCATATCAAATTCATGACAGTCACCTACAGGGCCAGCTTTATGAACTCAGGATTTGTGCAATCTATAGGGATCTACATTCAGAAGCAACCTGTGCTTGGTTCAATGTTCCGCTGTCACTAACTTAAAATGACTAATAAATTTTGAAAGAGGGGCCTGGCATTTCCACTTTGCACTGAGTTATGCAAATTACTTGGTCAATGAAGGCCACAAAGAAGGACAAGGACTAGCAGAGAGAAGCTGGCAGAATGACTACAGTCAGTCACAGATGTCATTTTGTCAACAAGTGATGATATAAATTATACATGTAACTGTCTAGGTCATAGTTTGAGCTTCCAATTTGGTCATGAGAGTGGTTGGGCAACCTCCAGAAATATTCCTAAAAGCATCCTGAAGAAAAAGATGCAAGTTCAAAGAAAAAATTCAACCAGGATATAGTGGACAGAACATCAATGTACTGGTCAAAGTGTCCTTTAGCTCTGTTCCTGAGAAGGAGTGGGAAGATCTTAAAGTAAAGACAGCTTGACAAGCGGGAAAAGGGTAGAAGATGTGTTCCATTATCATCTCATACCACAGAAACTGGCACACATTCAAAAGAACAAAAAAAAATAGTGTTGACGTGGATGTGGAGAGAAAGGAATGCTCTTTCACTGTTGGTGGGAATGCCGACTGGTCCAACCTTTCTGGAAAACAATATAGATATTCCTTCAAAAACTAGAAATTCAGCTTTCATATGACCCTGCAATACCACTTCTGGGAATATATCCTGAGGGTTAAAAAAAAGTACTGTAGAAATGACATCTGCACCTGTATGTTCATTGCAGCACTGTTCACAATAACCAGAATTTGGAAACAATTCTGGTGTTTCCAAACCCAAGTGCCCTAGAACAGACTACTGGTTAAAGAAACTTTGGTACATCTACACAATGGAATATTATGCAGATATTAGGAGAGATGAAGTGATGAAATTTGCTTATAAATGGATGGACATGGAGAGTATCATGTTAAGTGAAATGAGTCAGAAAGAGAGGGGCAGATATAGAAGGACTGCACTCATTTGTGGAATATAAAATAACATATGAGACTGACATCCAAGTACAGTAGACACAAGGGCAAAGAAGAATGCCCCATAGTTGGAAGTCTGTCTCATGAGCTGGGGAAGAAGGCAGCTGGAATAGAGAAGGGATCACTAAGACAATGATGGTTGGAGGAATCGTTCAGGATGGGTGATGTGTGCTGAAAGTAGATAAAGGACCAAACGTGATAACCTTTCAGTATCTGTATTGCAAATCATAATGCCCAAAAGTGGAGAGAGTGAGTATGAGGGAAGTTTTCTACCATGGAGGCAGGGAGAGGGTTGGAAATAAGGGATATACTGAGACCATTGGTGGTGGAGAATGTGCACTGGTGGAGGGATGGGTGTTTGATCATTATATGATTGAAACCCAAACATGAAAGCTTTGTAACTGTATCTCATGGTGATTCAATAAAAAAATTAATTTAATTTAAAATTTTAAAAAAATTTAAAAAGATGTGTTCCACATGGAAAGCAGTAAACCAATGAGCCTATACCTAGTTTTCAGCCTTTCTAGCCATGGTAGTCTTCATTTGCCAAAAGGTAGAATCCTCAACATAATACTAGAATTTTCATTATTAATGGATACTGGATCTTTCGATGACTGTACTGAGACATTCATTTTTTTAAGGCAGCTAAAAATGCCACATGGTTAAAAAAATGTCCTCTAGGGAAAGAATTAGTTCCAGTAAGAACAATTTAAAAGAATAGTGAGAGACATTGTGAACTTAGGGATAATTCATGACCTCTTTCTCATTGCAAGGTTAGTATACCTTGACCATTTAGAAGATTCAGTATTACCTTCATAAACCAAGTAGAGAGTAATTCATATATGGACATGAGAGTGGTACTCTAGGATATTTTTTCCAATAGTAAAAAAATGTGATAAAAAGTTGTATGTTCATTCATGACATTGGCAACTATCGCCCGATCTGCCTATTGTCTGTCATCTACAAGCTGTTCACTCGAGTCATCCTGAATAGGATTGGCAGAACACTAGATGAAGGACAACCATGCGAGCAAGCAGGGTTCCGCAAAGGATTCAGCACCATCGACCATATCCACACGGTAACCAAGCTCATTGAGGTTTCTCGGGAGTTCAAGATGCCGCTCTGCTTAACGTTCATTGATTTAAAGAAGGCCTTTGATTCTGTTGAGATGGAAGCGGTCATTGAAGCCCTAGCCAATCAGGGCATTCAAGCCCAATACATCAGGATCCTCCGTGAGCTGTATTGCGGATTCACTACCAGGATCTCACCATTCTACAAAGAAGTGATCGTTGATGTCAAGAGAGGGGTGCGGCAGGGTGATACCATTTCACCGAAACTCTTCAGTGCCACCCTCGAGAACATCATGCGAGGACTGGAATGGGAAGGAATGGGAGTGAAGATAGATGGTCGGCAACTACACCACCTCCGCTTTGCTGATGACATTGTTTTAATAACACCAAACATCAGCCAAGCGGCACAAATGCTGGCCGACTTTGACCGTGAGTGTGGAAAGGTAGGACTACAGCTGAATCTTACGAAGACAATGTTTATGAGAAACAGCCTTGTTCCTGACGCCCCATTCGCTCTCAATGGAACGACCATCTCCGAATGCAACAGCTATGTGTACCTAGGTCGAGAGGTCAACATGACAAATGACCTGGCACCCGAGCTGCGCAGGAGGAAGAGAGCGGCTTGGAACGCCTTCAAGAACGTCGAAGAAATAGCTAAGAGGACGAAGAACCTCCGGCTCCGGGC